TGTGAAAGAGGCAATTTGGCTTCAAGGATTGCTAAAGGAGCTTGGTGTTGAACAAAAAGGTATCACAATTTTTTGTGATAGTCAAAGTGCTATTCAATTAGCGAAGAACCAAGTTTATCATGCAAGGACGAAGCACATTGATGTTCGGTATCATTTCGTACGAGAAATCATAGAAGAATGTGGAGTCACGGTGAAAAAAATTCATACTACGGAGAATCCTGCTGATATGCTGACAAAGGTGGTGACTGCGGTCAAGTTTCAACATTGTTTGGATTTGATCAACATTGTTGAACACTGAAGATTGAAGATGAAGACACAACCAAAATTTGTTATTAAGAGAAAATTAAAGATGTGGAATTTTGTCAAGGTGGAGATTTGTTAAAATGTCAAATATTTCAGATTCCCACATCGGTGGGTTAGCAATAGTTGGGGGGATTTTCCCCCTATAAAAGAAGGCTTAATGTTTAGGATTTAAACACACCTCTCATTTGCCTTCTCATCTGTTTAAGGCATTTGTATCTTCTTTCTTTAGTATTATTTCACTTGTATGGAGTGAAATAAAATATTGGTTGTGTCCGAGGAGTAGGCAAAATTAACCGAACCTCGTAAATTCTGGTATTCCCTTTATTGTTGTTTTATTGTCTTATTTATTATTTGGTGGCTATCATAATTTTTGGTATAGTAATTGTGACTTGCACTATATACATTTGGCTTTCGCAACATGTGCTTCCATGAACCAATACAAGACACCCCTTTGCGTGAAATATGCACCCTTTGTTGAGCTATTGAATTCTAGGGTCGTGTCCAGCTACTTCAGTCCCATGTGTCCAAAATGGGTTCCTGGCTACAAGAAATGGGACAACATGAATTGAATGTCAAGCTTCCAGTTTCTCTGCTTGTAGCTTCATTCACTATGCAGAAAAAAGACAAACCATTTGTGGATTATTTTAGTGAAAACCCGTGTAATGTTCTGAGAAAAAACAGTGTAATGTTGGGCGGGTTGGATGGGTAATCGGAAAAAATCCATTTTGCCGGCACTAGGCCTAAGACTTTCCTGCAGTCTCACTGCATAAGTTTACAAGTCTATCAAGTGAGAAACAACAATGTATCAAGTAGTAATACAAAATCAGCAGTAATGTTAAGAGAACTACTGCAAAAGTGTTAAAAGACTGGATTAGCAAACATTTACAAGCTTTAAAACGGAAGATTCCAAATTACCAGGGTAATATAACGGAAAGACTTGTAAGTTGCAACCCTGATTAAAAAAAAGACTTGTTGGTTGCAACCTGAAGAACGAAATAAGATAACCCTTGATCAGAATCAATCAAGGATTTGCTAAATTCTTTCAAATGTTTATATGTAAGCAAGCTTCTTTTATCTGTATAGTTGATCGTGTGAACATCATTTGATAGTTTACCCTTTTAACATATAGACCTCTACTTCTTCCTCTTTCCCTTTACAAAAAAAAAAAACTTGTAAGCATTGCAATGTATGTTTCATATAACACTGCAAATGAAAAGAAGATAGAGAGATTGCTGTCAAGACCTATCTTTAGCTTGCAGCTTAGAGTGAAGCAGTTCTTGCAACTCTGCCTTTCGAGCCTTGGACACCTCATATATATTATGTTTATTTGCCATGGAACTGAGAGGTGTTTGACTAAGCTTATAAGTTAAGTCAAACTGGCTTATAAGTACTTTTTGGCTTATCTACGCGTTTGGTAAAATTAAAAGTGCTTATAAGTTAAGTGCTTATAAGCCAAAAATAAGCAAAAAGCCATAAGTTGGTCTCCCCCAACTTATCAAATTTCAGCTTATAAGCACTTTAGGTTTGACCAAAATATTTACTATTCTATCCCTAAAATAATTCTTTTTAAACAACTCTTCGTATACCCAGTTTTTCAGTTACTTATTATTAATTTCAGCACTTTTATCCAAACACGTAACTGCTTATTTTTTAAATCAGTTTCAGCAATTAAAAGTGTTTTTCAGCATCTAATGATTATCAGCCTCTCTAAATCAGCTAAGTCAAACGGGCTCCGAGTTGAACCGTTTAATGAATTCAATATCTATGTTCGCGTAAAAAAATGCTGAGTTTAGTTCGCTGATTATATATTGCATACGCCTGTATAAGCTAGAACATGTAAATACGAAAACCACGAACAAAGGTAAATGAAAAATACGAAATTTAGTAAAGAATAAGGATTGTGCAGTACCGTTTTCATCTTCTTGAGAAATCAATCGTTCCAATCGAGGAATCAACATATCAAAATCATGCTTACGTGTCACCAGGCTGAGTCTAACATAATTATTTTCTGCAAAGAATCCGCTGCCTACAACCTATTATTTTTGCTTCTTGGAAGAAGACTTGTGTGCAGTTTTTATCTTCTTCCCTCTTACACTTCACCCACGCAATTGCTGCAATTGACATCATTTTTATGTCAGAACGACAAGCAGTACACACATCTGTTGAGAAAACTAAATGTATATAGTGTAAATGAGTCACAGTTACTATACTAAAAATTATGACAGCCACCAAATAATAAATAAGACAATAATACAACAATAAAAGAAATATCAGAATTTACGAGGTTCGGCCAATTTTGCCTACTTCCTCGAACACAACCAATATTTTATTTCACTCCAAAAATACAAATGAAATAATACTAAAGAGAGAAGATACAAATGACTTAAGAAGATAAGAAGGCAAATGAGAGCTGTACTTAAATCCTAAACATTAGGCCTTCTTTTATAGGGGAAAAATCCCCCCCACTATTGCTAACCCACCGATGTGNATCCAATTTTGACTCTATCACATGATAATATGCAGTTGAGCCAAACACGTGCAAAGAGTTATAATCTACAACAGTCTTTCCATACCATTTTTCAAATGGTGTCTTGCCATCAATAGCAGCAGATGGTAAGCGATTAATGAGGTGGCATGCATATGTAATTTCCTCAGCCCAAAATTCTTTGTCCAAGCCAGCATTGGACAATATACACCGTACCTTCTCCAGCAAGGTCTGGTTCATACGTTCTGCCACTCCATTCTGTTGTGGTGTATGTCTGACAGTGAAGTGTCAGACGATGCCATCATTTTTATAGAACTTATTGAAATGATCATTTTTGTATTCACCTCCATTGTCTGTGTGAATGCACTTGATCCTCCTGCCTGTTTGATTCTCCACCATCGTCTTCCATTTGAGAAAAATTCCCAGCACTTCATCTTTGTTTTTCATTGTATAC